CTGACCCTCACCTCGGGGCCCACCCGGGAGGTAGGGGGGCCTCCCCATCTTTTCTCTCCCCTGGGGGCATCCAAACCCCAGAGCCAGAAGAAGGAGGTCTGGTTAGAGATTTCCTTTGGGAAAGCTTTTCCTCTGGGAATCCTTGTTCCTCTCCTTTCAAGGAAGCCTGAAGCCCTGGAAGGAACCTTGGGCTGGGAGTCAGGGAGCCTGGGCTCACCTTCCAGGCCAGGCTGTACCACTGTACTAGCCCCCTCTGAGCCTCAGCTCAGTGGCTGAGCGAGGGCATCTAGAGGGTCCCTGGAGCAGCCGCCAGCCATGTTAAAGACCCAGCCCCTCACACCACCTGCCAGTGTCCGCCCCTCCGGTTCTGACTGCAAGGCAGCCTGGGGCGAGACGGCCCAAGGGCTCCACTTGGTGGCCACGCACAGCCAAACATGCAGCCACACCCAGCAGCTTCCAGTGTTCATTAATTAATCTTAAGAGCAGAGGTCATGACCCTAAAACATGGGAGACAGGGCAAGAGAAAACCCAGAGAGATCAAGGTGCACCTCCCCAACCCTTCCCAGACCAGGCTTTCAGAGTCAGTGGTGCAAATGGAAGGTACCGCCATTGTAAATCTGTCTGAGTGTAAAGCACTGGAGTTTGGGGTCGGATGGGCCTGGACTTTAATCCCTGGGGTTCTTAACCTCACCTCGAGTCCCTCACCCATGCAGTGGGCTATTTAGGGCACATCCTGCAGGACTATGGCCCTTTCTCTGCATGAGCAGGCAGCCAAGGGAGATGGCAGGGTCAAGGCTGGATCCATGACAGGTGTCCACCTGGTGGTGCTCAGCCCTTAGGCCAGTGGCTCATCCATGGCTGCACATCAAAATCACCTGCCGCTTGGGCAGTGCTTCTCAAAGCATGGTCCCCGGACCAGCAGCAGAACATCAACAGGGTACTTGTTGGGAATGCAGATTCCTGGGTTCCACCCCAGACCTTCTGAAACAGAAACTCTGGGATGGGGCTCAGCAGGCTCCAGGTGATGCTGGTGCTTGGTCCAGTGTGAGAACACAGTGCTTAGCTACTGGGGGGTGCTGAGAAAGCTCTTCATGTGATTCAGATGTCTTAGGATTCAAAATCACCTGTGAAGGTCAAAATACTAACAGGTGCCTGCCTCACCCCCACTCCCCCACCCTAACTTCCACCCCTAGGGAGTCTGGTTCAGTGGAGCCAAAGCAGGACCCAGTCAGGGATTAAAATAACAACTCTGCAGCTGATTCTACTGCACAGTCACTGCTCTGGTTTGGATCCTTCTCTCCATACCCTACTCATGCCCTTCTTTTAGAGAGCCAGGCCCTGCAGCAGAGGGCAGCAGTTCTCCTAGAACGCCAGGTTGTGTACAGGATAATCATCAGTTATCGAATTTGGAGGCTGCTTGAGCTGTGACAGGCATGGTCCTGGACACTTTGTTACAGCATCTCACAAGAACCCTATGAATTGTTAGAAGTTCCTGCTTTACAGATGGAGAAACTGAGGCACAGAGAGGTTAAGTAATTGGCCCTAGGTCACACAGCTACTAAATGGCAGAACCCAAATTTCAACCTAGTTCCCACAGACTCCAGAGTCCACCACGTTTGCTTCCTTATTTTACAAATGAGAGGTGGGATGACTTGCTGAAGGTCACCAGGGGTGGCACCCATCACTCCTCCTGTACCTTTGCCTGGAAGCTCACCAGTGCCCTGGAACCAATTTCAAGATGGGATGAATGGACCTCTGAGTGGGTGTCACCCCCAGGAAATAATGCCACGCTCCCAGGAATAAATGCAACTGGAAAAGGGAGGTGGAGGCAGGGTATTTGGTTTTTTTTGTTTTAAGTTTTATTTATTTATTTTTGGCTGCATTGGGTCTTTGTTGCTGTGCACAGGCTTTCTCTAGTTGCGGTGAGGGGGGCTTCTCTTTGTTGAGGCGCGCGGGCCTCTCATTGCAGTGGCTCCTCTTGCTGCGGAGCATGGGCTCTAGGAGCAGGGGCTTCAGTAGTTGTGGCACGTGGGCTCAATAGTTGTGGCATGTGGGCTCAATAGTTGTGGCTCGTGGGCTCTAGAGCACAGGCTCAGTAGTTGTAGTGCATGGGTCCGCGGCATGTGGGATTTTCCCGGACCAGGGCTCGAACCCGTGTCCCCTGCATCAGCAGGCGGATGCTCAACCACCACGCCACCAGGGAAGCCCTGAGGCAGGGGTATTAATTAAGTCACAGGAACTTCTTCCTGGACCCACAGGATTCAAGACGTTAAGGAAATTGACACTTGTCCCTATCCTGGCTCAAGTGTTCGTTGTCTTCTCAGTGCTAGGTGGTGTCCACCAACACCCGGCTCAGAGAGAAGAAAGAAAAAGACAAGAGGAGAAGCCGAGGGAGTAGAGAAAATATAGAGTCATTTTATTGCTAAAAATATTTTTCCAAAAACAAGGGCATTTTTGTTTTGAAGACACGAAGGTCTGTAGTCCTTGGGGAGGGGGCTGAATACCACCAGACGGGCAGTCCTCATAGTTCTCGAATTCTCCTGGAGATTCGGTAGAGCTCCATTGTTGCCCTGGCATCTTCCACCGAGTTGTGTCCCGACACGCTGTCCTGCAGACACAGGTACAGAGTGGGGACTTGGGGTGCGGCTGAATCCAGGCGCCCATGTGACCCAGGCCTTCCCTGCTCACACCCTGACTTCCGGGGCTGAAGTGGGTCAGTGGGTGAGTCTCCCCAGGCCTCTGACACCCTGGACTCAGCAGGTGGCTGGAGCAGGCCTGGCTTCACCCATTAGCACTAGACCCAGGCATGGCCAGGCACAGAATCCAGCATCCTGAGGGCCAGGCTGTGCCCTCCAGGCGCTTACAATCCGCTGGGTGTGGGCCAGGCACTGCAGACTTGGCCTCAGACCCAGAGGGGCTGAAGCAGTTCTCACAGGGAGCCCCAGGGCAGCGAGGAATGTGGACACAGATGTTTCTAAGGGGCTCCTTGCTCAGCACGTGAACAGGGCTCTTCAGTGAATCCACGTGCTGACACTCTGTCCTCGGTCCCTGGCACCACAAGCCCAACAGAGGGGCCCGACCTCAGGCCCATCCCCTGTCTCCTACATGTTCCTGCTCCCCAGCCAAGCCGCCCCCCACTCCTCAGGCTGGGGCTCGGTCTCTCCCCTCCCCGGCGCCCCCTCTCTTGCCTCCTCCACTAAGACGCCCCCGTCACACTCCACTCAGACCTGGTGTCCTGCCTGCCCCCTGTCTTCCGTCCCTGCTCCAGGACACCTGCCCTCCCCTCTGTGGACACGCCCCACAGATGTGCTGATGCTCAGGTCTCGGGCCACCCTCCGTTCAACCACGAGTTTCTCAAGGATGGGCTGGGCCTCGCTCACCCGGGTGCTCAGCCTCTGGTCCAGCCTGGCCCAGGGCAGGTGCTTCATAAACATCCGCTGTGCTGGAAGGGCCCACGTGTGGCCGCAGCTCCTAGTGTCCAGCCCGCCTCCCTGGGCCCTTCCACCTCGGTGAGCTCCCAGGCCCCAGCACACGCCTGCCGGCTCCTGGAGACTGCTTTGCCTGTGGGTTTGAGCTCAGGGTCCCTCTCTCACTTTTGGAACCCCCCTCGTTGGATATTTGCCGCTTTCCTATCTGGGGGGGCAATTCCAGAGGCTTCTGCCTGGGGCTCTGGGGGGGCCTGCTCTGTCTGTGGCTGCAAGTGCTGAGGAATTAGGGCCCCGGGAGCAGCATCAGTTCCTGCCTAAAGGGAGGTGTGTGTAAATAGTGCGGCTCCCTGGATACATCTGCGCTCTGTGCTCTACACCATTTCGCAGAGTTAGGCAGGGGGATTAAGCTTCAGTTACCCACAGGGAAACTGGCATGGTTTTGAAAACACACAAAAACGCCTTGACTGGGTGCCTTCCCTTCCCTGCTGCTCATCCTCATTCTACCAGGGCTTCCTGGGTCAGCTCTCACATAAATGCCCTGCCCTCCTGGAGAAACCCCTACCCTCTCACACAGCCTCTCAGGACTAAGGGGAGGCTGAGCATCCTTGGGGCCAAATATTTGCTCCGCAGCTACTGGGAGACTTTACAGTCCTAGCGGGAAGGGCCAGGCCCCCAGAGCTGGCAATCCGGCCCCAGGCTGGGAAAGGGGTGGTCCTCACCTGGATGCGCCATCCAAGGAGGCGCTGGCTCAGCACGCGGAGCGAGACACGCCGGCAGTACAGCAGGCCGGCCTCACGCCAAAGAAGCTTGTCCGCGGTCGTGTCGTAGATGGCATAGTTCCTCATGTTCTCCTTCAGCGCCTTGAAGTCGTGCTTCAGGTCGTGACCCACCACCAGCTTGCCTTTCAGGAGCTGCAGGATCTGGCCAGGAAGACATGCACCCTACACGTCACGCAGGGCACTTCAGGTGGGTCTGGGGCAACTTGGTGCCATCACGGGGGGCTGGCCTGAGCTGTGTGACTATGAGCAAAGTCCTCCTGGACTTGCTGTGTGACTATGAGCAAATCACCATCCCTCTCTGGGCTTGGAACATATATACCATAGATAAAATGAGGAGACTGGACCAGGCCCCTTCACCCTCAACAGTTTAGTGATGCCGGATGGCCCATCCCAACTCCTTCCGTGGTTTCTGTGTGATAGCAATGGCCACGAGCCAGGCATTCGTTGTGCATCACATACATTATGTCGTTTAATCCTTTTAACAGCCCTCCTGTGGCAGGCGGGTTGACCTCCCAGAGATGCCCACTCCCTAATCCCCAGGCCCTGTGAACATGTTACACGGCAAGGGAAAATTAAAGTTGCAGATGGACTTGAGGTTGCTAATCAAATGACCTTAAAATAAGGAGAGTTTCTGGATGATCCAGGTGGGCCCAGCATAATCCCAAGGTCCTTATATGTGGAGGTCAGAGAGATCTGACATGTGAACTGGACAGGCTGCCTCTGGCTGTGGAGGTGGAGGAAGGGGCTGAGAGTTCGGAACAGGGGTGGCCATAGAAGCAGGCAAGGGCAAGGAAACAGATCCCCCTCCAAAGGCTCCAGAAATGAACACGGCCCTACTGACACCTTGATCTCAGCCCAGTGAGACCCACATCGGACTCCTGAACCACAGAAGCGTAAGACAATAAATTTTCGTTCTTTTAAACCACCCGGTCTGCAGTTCTGTTACAGCAGCCATAGAAAACCCATACAGCTATGAGGGAGGATTGTGTTTAACTGAATTTTGCAGTTGAAAAAACTAAAGTGCTAAGAAGTGGAGTCATTTACTCAAGGTGACTCTGATGAATTTAAAATATTTGCAGATTCCTTGACACTCCTCACAGAAAAGATGGAGTCTAATTCCCCTCACCTTGAATATGGGCCGGGCTGTGTGACATCTGATCTCTCTGTGGGGCCAGTGTCCCGGGAGCCCTGAGTTACCCTGAAGCCACCATGCTGGGGAGACCACCCTGACGTAGGGAGATGTGCCCAAGGCCCCCAGCACCAGCCACAGCACAGGTGGGTGAGCGAACCATTCTGTGATTCTAATCCTGGGCCTGCCAGGTGCCTCAGCCAACCAGCTGTCCCCGTCTGCCGAGCCCTGCCCAGATTGCGGATGCCTGAGCGACATAAATATTGACATTGTTTGGAGCACTACGTTTTGGGGTGACGTGCTAAGCGTCATTAGATAACTGAGACAAGTCACACGGTTAGTTCGTGGCAGGGCCAGCCCTCAAAGCCAGCTTATCACCACCACATTATGCTGAAAAAGCCGCCTGCTCCAGGCCTCCGCCAGCCCAGCTGCCAAGCTGCAGAGGGCAGCCCTCAGGGTGCCCCAGTCCTGTGCCCTGCACGTATGCCCAGGCCTCCGTTCTCACCTCCTCTCCCACGGTGGCCCTATGGAGAGCCTCAATCATTGGCCACACAGGTGGGTCACCTTTCCTTCCCTTGGCTGCCACTGGGGAGGACGGAAGGGGGACCTTGGAGCGAGCTGTACCAGGCGCCAGCTGAAGGGCAGCTCATGGGCATCTCAGGCCCCCCTAGGACAGCTCTCCGGCAGCCTTCATCTCTTCCTCTGTGCCCGAGGAAGGAGCCCTCTGGATGGCTAACACCGTCCGGTGTCCTGCTTCTGCTTCTAGTGGCTTCCCCAGACATCCCATGGGGTGTTTGACTTGCTCCCCCTTGTGGCCACTTTGCAGAAAGAAGCTAAGGCTCCAAGAAGTGAGGTGACCTGTCCACGGTCACAGCACTGGAGGCAGAGCCGGTCCATCCACCGTCAACAGGTAATGTCACAAGCCTGCCCCACTGGTACCATGGTTTTCTTGGGGTCCTCCTCTGGACAGACCCTCACCCAACCTAGGGACTGGAGAAAGCACTCAAAGAATAAAGCTGGGCCACTCCTGAGGGACACCAGTTCTTGTCACACTTGGGCTTAGGAATCCCCTGGTTTATCTCACCAAAATCTGGATTCGGATGTGGGATTCTACATTTCTAACAGGTGGTGCTGATTCTGCTGGTCTGTGGGTCACGCTGAGTAGTAAGGGCACACAACCTCAGAGCAGCAGCTCGAGGGGAATCCTACGTGTGGAGGAAAGGGCTCGGGCAGCACACAGGGGATAGGTAGAGGCCCAGGGCCAGTGGATGTGGCTGTGCTGGGCAACTGTAGGTCACACGCCTTTCCTTGCTGACATCCTTTATGTTTCTGAACAATGGGGCCTGTTTTCCTGTCTATGAGCTGACTCAGGGCCAGTTCACACAAAGCTCTGAGGGGACTGTGCCACCCTAGAGTCAGCCACAGCAGCCGGTCCCAGGTGTAAGAGGGCCAAGTCATTGTGAGGCAGATTCCTGGGAAATTCATCACTTCCTGAGCCCCAGGGTCCCGGTGGTGGCGGGGGGAGAGGGGTACATTCAGGACCATGAGACTCATCATGAGACAAATAAAATAAGAGGTGGACAAGCAGAAGGAAGGAAGAAGTAGGGAAAGGAGGAGAACAGTCTGTTTAGCAGAGAGATGCCAACTCTTCAGGACAAAGATGCCGGGCACCGGGTAGGGAAAGGCTGCTGCAACTCGCTATGTGGTCTCAGGGAGGTTGAAGATGGTCTCTGGGCTTCAGTTTCCCCATTTGTAAGGTGAGGGCCTGGCGACGTGAGGCTCCACGGACTTTCTGTGGCAGGGCTGGGAGGGAAACCCAGGGTGGTGTGGAGGTGCCAGCTGGAGGGGCCTCAGGGCTGTGTGACCTGCTGGCTTCGGACCTGCCCTGAATCAGTGTCATGAGGCGGGTGTGTCAAACACAGGGGAGGGAGGCTCAAATTCCTGGAAAGAACTGGAGTGGGTGGGGAAAGGGACATGCATCGATCTGTTCTCATTGCCTGGCACTAGGCCAGGTACTTTCCTCACCTCATCATGGGGCCTCTCAACAAGAGTGTGTCATTTTATAGTGAAGTGTCTTAGTGTCATTTTATAGTGAAGGGGGTTGTGGATCAGAGAGGGTAAGAGGCTTGCACAGGTCACACAGCTGGTGAGTTGATTGCTGAGATGCAGTGTCCGGATCTGCCTGACCCTGTCACTATTATCACAGTTGTTATTATTAATACTTACTGAGAACATAGGGATTATATTAGCGTTATTAATTTCAGGGTGGAAATTAATAATTTCTACTGCTGGGCCCATGACGGCACTCACTGAAGATTTCTTGAATCATGAATATGGCCCCTATGAGGTGGGGATTGTCATACCATCTTACCAACAGGGAAAAGGCGGTGCCAGTGGTGTGTACCCATGTCACATGCAGAGGAGTGACAGGCCCTGGTGTTTGCCTGAATTCTCTTTCCACTGTGTTTTCCCTGTAGTCCAGGTATTTCCCAGGCCTGATCAAAAAAATCACCCGAGACCCTTGTTAGAAATCCAGAGGGCAGGGCGCTACTCCAGACCTGCGGAATCAACATCGCCAGGGGAGGGGCATTAGCAAATGTTCCAGGGTATTCTTCCCATCTGCCAAGTTTGGAAATCCCGGCACGGATGCCTGTCCAGCCCCTTAGAGCCCGCTGCTCCCATCATGCATCCATTCTTCCATCTGCCCGTTCATTCATTCCTGGCTGCCAGGAGATGTGATTATAAGGGACTCTGAAGAATGTTGCCCTTGTGGAGGCCCAGGTCCCCTACTGGCATCTTCAGGAGTGACCCTGGTCCCCCTCTTTCCTTCTGTCCCCTGCCAAGCTCTCTGGGTACCCCTGCCCCCAGCTTCTGTCTGCTTACCCGGGGTAAACCTGGATGACGAAATCATCCTCCTCCATCTGGCTGAGCCCCAGAGAGACCTGCCAGGTGGCAGGGCCCCGACAGGGCACTCCAACACAGGCAAGGGCTACAGCACTGGTACAGCTGAAACCAGTCCCTGTTCACAAGCTACTGTGGCTTCCTTTCTGTTTCCCACCTAAACCACGATGCCACACAAGATTTAGTTTCTTTATCTGCAAACTAAGAGTGTCATTATCATTCCCCAATCCCAGTCATGGGCTGGGTGCTACTCAGCATACCAGGTTAACATTAAAAGAGCATTTACTTACAAAAATGAGTTACAGTCTACGGACAATTACCGTTAGATTAAAAAATGAATTAAAAGAGCATTGACCTGTCAGGTGAGAGCCCTGCATCTGAGCACTGAGTTGTAGCCCAGCTTGCTGTGTGTCCTTAGCAAGTCACTGCCCCTCTCTGGACCTTGGTCTCCTCGCAGGTTCCTTCCTGTGCTGACAGTCTGATTTGTGGGGCTCTCTGTAGAACAGGGTTCTCAGCCTTGGGACAACTAACATTTGGGGCCAGATACTCCTTTGGTGTGAGTGTGTGTCCTGTACATTGTAGGATGTTCATTCAGTACCATCCCTGGCCTCAAGCCACTGGATGTCAGTAGCAGCCTTCCGCACCTCACTTATGACAATCAGAAGTGCCTCCAAATCCTCCTGCACTGTTGGTGGGAATGTAAATTGATACAGCCACCATGGAGAACAGTATGGAGGTTCCTTAAAAAACTACAATAGAACTAACATACGACCCAGCAATGCCACTACTGGGCATATACCCTGAGAAAACCATAATTCAAAAAGAGTCATGTACCAAAATTTTCATTGCAGCTCTATGTACAATAGCCAGGACATGGAAGCAACCTAGGTGTACATCAATAGATGAATGGATAAAGAAGATGTGACACATATATACAATGGAATATTACTCAACCATAGAAAGGAACGAAACTGAGTTATTTGTAGTGAGGTGGATGGACCTAGAGACTGTCATGCAGAGTGAAGTAAGTCAGAAAGAGAAAAACAAATACCATATGCTAACACATATATATGGAATCTAAAAAAAAAAAAAGAAAGAAAAAAATGGTCAGAAGAACCTAGGGGCAAGACAGGAATAAAAATGCAGACCTACTAGAGAATGGACTTGAGGATACGGGGAGGGGGAAGGGTAAGCTGGGACAAAGTGAGACAGTGGCATGGACATATATACACTACCAAATGTAAAATAGATAGCTAGTGGGAAGCAGCCGCATAGTACAGGGAGAGCTCGGTGCTTTGTGACCGCCTGGAGGGGTGGGATAGGGAGGGTGGGAGGGAGGGAGATGCAAGAGATATGGGGACATATGCATATGTATAACTGATTCACTTTGTTATAAAGCAGAAAATAGCACACCATGGTAAAGCAATTATACTCCAATAAAGATGTTAAAAATAAAAAAAATAAAATAAGGGCTTCCCTGGTGGTGCAGTGGTTGAGAGTCCGCCTGCCAATGCAGGGGACACGGGTTCGTGCCCTGGTCCAGGAAGATCCCACATGCCGCGGAGCGGCTGGGCCCGTGAGTCATTGGCCGCTGAGCCTGCGCGTCCGGAGCCTGTGCTCCGCAACGGAAGAGGCCACAACAGTGAGAGGCCTGTGTACCGCAAAAAAAAATAATAATAAAATAAAATAAAAATATCTGATCTTACTGTAAAAAAAAAAAAAAGAAAAGAAATGCCTCCAGATATTGCTAAATGCTTCCAGATATCGCCTCCGGATTTGCCCTTGTGGGCAAAATCACAGTGCACTGAGAACCACCGTTCTGGATGACAGTGAGACCTATAGGCATCAGAAGATAACAAGGCAGTTACCTTGCATTATAAAAGCAATGTCATCCTATTACAAAAAGTAAAAAACAGAAAAGGGGTGAGGGGAGCCCCCTCAAAATCCTAGTGCCTCGTGGCTGCATGGGCCCTGGGTGGACTGGGGGCCTCAGTGGCTCCCTGGAGCCAGCCTGGCTTCTATGGCCTGGTCTATGGCTCACTGCTAGCCGGGTCCACTTGCAGGAAGAGACAGGCTGGCGAGCCACCTTTGAAAAAGGACTGCAAGAAACCAATGCCTGGTGAGCTGGTGGCTTAGCTGAGAGGTGTCGCCTGGACTTGTGGGGTCTGATAAATGGCTAATAGGCTTCTGCCCTTTGGGGGCTCCCCAGCATAGCTTGGGATCTGTGAGCCTGGTCTTTGGGATTAAACTACTGTGGGTGATGAGTGAGGTCAAGGTGCCTCAGCGTCCTCGTTCATGAAAACAGATGATGGTGGTTGCCTCATACCACAGCTTCACTCCAATGCTGCTCCGACACTACCTGTTCATACATCAGGCACTTAGCATTCACAGCCCGCGTTTACACACTTTGATCACAGGATCAGAACATCACAAAGCAAGCCCTCAGGCCAGAAATTGAGTCTCTGCTCCACCCCTTTCTTGGACAATTTGCTCAACCTTGTGCCTAAGTTTGCTCATCTGTGAAATGGGGTGATGATACTAGTTAACTACCTCCCGGGGTTGTGGTGGGGCGTAAAGGTAGTGGGGGTATGAAAAGTGCTTAGAACAGGGCCCGGACATGATGCTGGATACACCTGTGCTGCTTCATCACCCCTGTGTTACAGAGGATCCTACTGAGGGGCACAGAGAGGTTTAGCAACAAGCCGGAGGACACAGGGCAATCAGGTGGCAGAGCTGGGATTGGACCCACATCCAGCCAAGTCTAAAGACAGTTTGCTAAAAGTCCGCATGCCCCAACTAAAGATCCCGCATGCCACAATGAAGATCCAGCGCAGCCAAAATAAATAATAAATAATAAAATAAATAGATAGATAATTATAAAAAATAAATCAAGACAGTGCTTGCTCCCTGCCCCCTGGGCTGTACGTGTATTACTGTATCTTGACAGCAAAGGCCAACACGAGGGCAGAGGCAATTCTCTTCCACGCAGCTGCCAGAACTCTTGTATTATGAAAATCAATTCAACTCCAATCCCACAAACATTCTCAGGGCACCTTCTATGTTCAAAGCACAATATCCAACCTGGGGCAGATAAAGTACATGGCAGGAGCTGTGGAGCTAGACAGACCCGTGTGTGTGGCTAGGCAAGCTCTAAAGCGTGTGGGCTATGGGAATTCCCTGGAGGTCCAGTGGTTAGGACTCAGTGCTTCCACTGCAGGGGGCACGGGTTCTATCCCTGGTTGGGGAACTAAGATCCCGAAAGCCAGGCAGCACGGCCAAAGAAAGAAAGGAAGTGTGTGGGCTATAGCAAGGAGGGTGAGACCCCCAGGGGGTTAGAGTAGTGGGTGGGGAGGGTGAGGGGGTCAGGCAGGGCCTCACACAGGACTCCTCTGGCCTGGGCCTGCCAGAATGGCAGTATTTCTAGGGAAAGGGATGGGGGATGGGAGAGAGTAGGGTTGGGTCTGAAGCACAGTGGGCGATGGCTGAGCTGAGAGAGAAGGCAGAAAATGTAGGTATGTGGTACTTAGAGGACCATGGACGTTGGGTTGCCGGACCTTAGGCAATGGGAGCCTTGGAGGTACTTGAACCAGGGGGTGGGGATGGGAGCGGGGGCTATGATCTGAGCCAGGCCTGGGGAAGTGTCTCTGGCAGCAGGGTAGAAGACAGGGGCAGGGAGCATACATTGTGCAGCAGGCAGAAAACGAGGGCCAGAATCTAAGACCGAGGTTCTCAAGGGAAGCTGGAGAGGGGATGGGTTGTAAAATCTGACTTTCTGCCTTGTTCTCTCCACAGGCACGTTGATGACCTTCAGCCATGAGCCAGGCACTGTGCTTAGGGATACAGACGACATCACTACACCCAACCTACACAAGGCCAGGAAGGAGGCATTAGTACTCCCCATTCACTGATGAGAAAACTCAGGCTCAGAAAGTTTCAGTAACTTGCCAAAGGTCACACAAACCAGTAAGTGATGGAGCAGGAAATGTGAACCGCAGATGTGGTTCCAAAGAGCTGCCCGGTCTTTAGATCCCCGCCTCCCTCCTCGAATGGCTGTTAAGTGCCTACTCTGGACGGCACTCCGTGTTACACACTGGAAGGGCCCGGCATAATCTCCAACTGAGAAACAAAAGCATTTTGGCACCAAGTCTGGATGAGGACCAAGGTGTCCTGACTCCCAGGCCAGTGCTGGAGGGCGTCCAGGGAATCGCATTTCTCTTCTGCCCTTTCTGCTGCTGGGATGGGGAGGGAGGCCGGGGAGGAGAAGGGATGGGGCCAAGCCGCCCACCTGACTGCTCCGTGGGGCTCTGAGTGTGGGCAGCTCCATGTAGTATCCCTGGGTCTCCCATCGGCACCTAAAGCACGCCACCTTTCTTCGTGTTGCCCTCCCCTTCTCGGTGACTCACCTTTGTTCTCCTCTGTCCTAATGTTTCCTTCTTTCCGATCTTCTGGATGCTACTGATGACTAAGACACTGCTCCCTGGGGTCTCTAACTCTTCTCTCTGCTGCCATCTCTTTCCTCACTCCCATCCGTCTCCCCAGCACCCCCATTCAGGTTTTCTTGACAGTGGTTTTCCTGCCATGCTATTGCTCAAGAATCTTCAGTGGCTCTCTATGGCCCACTGAGTTGCATACACAGACTCCTCCCTCCCCTTTGGCAAATAGCACCAGCCTCATGGAGCCTTTCCAGGACCACCCTGATGTACTCTGTCCCCTCCTCAGGGCTCCTTAGTACCCTCTTAGTACCTCTAGAACAGTGCTGTCCAATAGAAAGAAACATAACGTGAGCCACATATGTAATTTTAAATCATCACCAGCCATATTTTAAAAGGTAAAGAGAAATAGGTGAAATTAGTGTTACTGTTTTATTTAACCTAATATATAAAAATATATAAAATACTACCATTCTACATATAATCTATATTTTTAAATTATTGAAGTACTTTATGGTTCTTTTTTCATTCAAGTCTTTGAAATCCAGCGCATATTTTACACTTACAGCACATCTCAGTTCAGACAGACCAGCCACTTTTCAGGTGCTCACCTGTCACCCGTAACTGGTGGGACCCTACTGGACACACAGCTCTAGAGGTTTTGAGCCTTCCACATTCTAGTTATCTGAACTTGTGCGAGTTGCTTAGTGTTATGGGTTGAATTGCGTTCCCCCTCAAATTCATTTGTTGAAATCCTAACCCCAACCACCTCAAAATGTGACTTATTTGGAAATAGGGTCATTGCAGCCGTTATTGTTAGGATGTCATAATGGAATAGGTTGAGTCCCTAACAAATACAACCGATATCCTTATAAAAAGGGGAAATTTGTGAGACATGCACTCAGGGAGAATGCCATGTGAATATGAAGGCGAAGATTGGGGTGACATTTCTCCAAGCCAAGGAACATCAAAGATGGCCAGCAAATTGTCAGAAGCTAAGAGAGAGACAGAGAACAGGTTTTCCCTTGCAGCCTTCAGAAGGAACCAGCCCTGCTGACACCTAGATCTGGGACTTCTAGAACTAGTCTCTAGAACTGTGAGAGAAGACATTTCTATTGTTTAAGCCACCCACTTTTTGGTACTTTGTTTCAGCAGCTCTACCAAATCACTGTTTAGTTCAAGAGAGCCTCAGTTTTCCTCATCTGTAATATGGGGACAACAAGGAAAGAAACCTAACAGCTAACAGTTTTTTAGTACTTATATAGGCACTCTCTCCAGGCCCTTTTCCAATCCTCACAATAATCCTGTGAGATTGCTGCTGTCATCACCCCCATTTTCTTTTCCAGATGGTGAAATGGGGTACAGAGAGGGTGAGGAACTTGCTCAAGGTAACTTAGCAGGTAAGGAACAAAGCCAGGATTCAAACTTGGCCCTCTTAGCTCTGAGCTAACAGCTCCTGAAGACACTTTTGGCAGACTGTTTTGTGAGGCATGAGCTCCTGGATGGAGCTCAGGAGAGCATCCAGTGAGTAGCCAGTGCTCAGAAAACAGGGGCTATTGTTGTGGGCTTATCTCCGGCACCTGGAGCCTGGCACATGTGCAGTATGTGGGACTGAGGTGAACCTCAGTTCTTTGTGTTCTTCATGAACTTCCCCAGGGTGAGTTCACCTTCCCATGAATGACCAACCCTGGTGCTGAGTGGCTGAGTTTCGTTTTCTTCTAGTGATTCAGAGAAACAGAAAGTAGACTGGAGATGTCACAACAAGTTGAAGGGGAAGAGAATGGGAGATTTTGGTGTGCCACACCCATCTCTATGAGTGGATGGCCTGTGGTGGGTCTGGGAGCAAGCTCTCCCTGAGCTCCGTGGACTCTGGCTGGCCTGTCCTTCAGGACCAGGAGGGCGCCCTGCCGAGCGCCCAGCCAGTGAGGGCCTCCACCCAGGACCCGTCCCCCATTTCCCCCACAGGGCTCCCCAGAGGTAGCTGGTATAGAGGAAAGAAGGAGGAATCTAGCCCCCAAATCAGTATGCAGGGAACAGCAGGCAGGACTCAGCTTCCCCATCGTAAGACCAGCAAGGTGTACCAGATGCCCCGAAGGCTGCTCCCAGACACGAGTCTAAGGTTGTCTGATGGCAGGAAGCCTCCTCAGGGATGTGATGGACACACCAACGTGTTTCTCATGCTCTGGTGCTCCCCACGCATGGGTGGCAGGGAATCTGACATGGCTGGGGTCACAGGTCACAGCTCCGGCAACCAGGGGAGGTGCTGGGGAAGTGTGTATGTGTGTGTGTGTGGGGGGGGTATATGTGTGTTGGCCTGGATGGCATATGGCCCTTCTCTTACCTCCAGCCTGGCCACGGCAAACGGGGTGGCCCCCTCCATGTTCTGAGCCGTGATCCCACTGACGGGGGTTCTGTAGTCGGTGATCTCGCCCTCAGGTCGGATGAACTTGTCGTAGAGCACGGTGCCATGGTAGTCTACGAGACTGCAGCGAGCCAAGCCACTCTCCCTGAAGGGCCCCAGCCCCACCATCTCGCAGTCCATGGCCACCACATCTGTGCCTCTTGCCATGTTCCACCGGGACCCTCAGATGTGCTGGAGAGGGGGCGGCAGGAGGGGCATCACATGAGGGCCAGCTGAGACCCCAGGCGTCCTCAGCCACCTCCCAGCCAGCCTACACCCTCTGCCCTGCCCTTTGTCACAAACACCACCTGGCACAGACGGAAGTTGGCCTCTTGCCACCCCAACTGGCTTCTTCAGCCGGCAGTCCCAGGGCCTCTCTCTGGTCCCGTCCGGCAGCCTCAAGACCAGGATATCCCCTCCCAGCACCTCCCCTGGCTGCTACCCCGGAGAAATGCCTTGAACCCACCACCCTGTCTCCCACTCTTACCGGCCTGCCTCTCTGGTGCCCCTTCTCAGCTACTGCAGTTGCTCTTAGCAGTGACTCATCTCTGACTTCAAGCCGGGAATCCTGACCCTGTTTCAGTTTCTGGTTTGGTATCAAGTGAAATCAGGGGCGGGAGGCGGGGCACGTGGACTGGGCTGCTTCATCTCCTCGGCCGGCTCGGGAGCTCAGTGTCCTGAGTCAGAATTGACCAAGCTTGCCGGCTCCTTGTCCGTGTGTCCCATCTTTGCCCCTGCCCTCCACCTAATCGCTCAAGCCCTCCCCCTCCTCGGATGACGCAGCTGATGTGGATGGAGTGGATTGCAACATCTGTCTTTCATTTCTCACCCTCTGCCTGGGGAATAAACATCCCCAGGACTGGAGCCCAGGGAATGTCCCACAACTTCCGGGGCCACCACCAATCTGACAACTCTGTGAGGTCTTTTTTTTTTTTTTTTAAATATTTATTTATTTATTCGGCTGCACCAGGTCTTTGTTGTGGTATGTAGGCTCTTAGTTGTGGCATGCGGGATCTAGTTCCCTGACCAGGGATCGAACCCGAGACCCCTGCATTGGGCGCATGGAGTCTTAACCAATGGACCACCAGGGAAGTCCCCCTGTGAGGTCTTTTATGGGGGCAGGGAGAGCTGGCTCTTGGGACACTGAGGTTATTGATTGGGAAGGGCAGGAGAAGGTTGGGGTGCAAGAGGGGCTAGCCCCCACTGCCGACCCAGTAAAGCCCTACGGCCTCTATTGGCTCAGGGATGCCTCAGAAAGGGTCATTGGTCTGCCCTCGACGTGCTCTGCCTCCAGCTGGACTGACACTGTTTTGAGGACAAGGAGAAGCAGGCCTGGAGGGAGCCCCACCAGCCCGGCCATATTTCCCAGGGGCAACGCTCTCCCAAGCTAGAACTTTGACCCGTTAGAACAATGCCTAACACATAGGGAGCACTCAACATTTATTGAATAAATGAATGAGTTACATCCGGGACAAAAATAGAATCAGCTTTAATGAGGAAATTGTCCATTATATACTGTGGTGAGTTGAGCGCTCCCATCTTGCCTCCTACCCCAGATCCATATGGAACAAGCTTTGAGCTGTCGAGCTGAATCTGACAGCCCCCCGTTGCCACAAAGATTTGTGGCTTGGAAAGGAATTTCCCCAGGTTCTCGGTGTTTTCACCAAGTGACATCCAGCTTCATTTAACAGACCTCAAAAAGAAAACCAGATACTGACATACGTTTAAAGGATAAGTCATTGTTCCTGTTTGTCGCTCAACTGGTGGGAAGTTGAGTTAGAAGAGGTTATTTGGGGTTCCCATTCTGAATGAGCTACTTTTTCTTGAATTCAGGCTGTCTGGGAATTTTTTGTTTCTCAAATGCATAAAGGATTGTCACCCTGATTTAGCGGGAGATGAAGCAAAATTCCCGTTACTTTAAATGAACATGCATTGAAAAGGTAACCCCCTAAAGATCCAATTGGAGGTTTCTGTTTCTACAGTCCCCGTAGGACCCCATGCACCCTCTGGTGATCGGCCCACATCAACATCCCCACTACAGGCCTCACCCCCTCTCTTCCACTGGCCACCTCAGGACTCAGGCAGAACACGTACTCACCCCTGCGATTCTTTTCCCCACGGGTCCTAAACCTGCTCCGTGGTCAACTCCAAACCTGCATCTTCCAGTCTTCTCTGCATTTCTCCTTTTCTACCCACACCCTACCCCAGTCCTCACCTGCCCTACCTCCATCTTCACGCCCTGCTCTAAATTATCCTTCAAATCTTACCAGATTTAAGTTCTCCAAAATCGAATCTCTTACA